GGCGGGCTGGCGCCACAACCTGGCCGGCGGCGGGAGGGGGGAGGGCCGCCGCCATATTGGGAAGGTCCGGCGCTTGGCTCGGCAACTGCTCCGCCAGGCTGAGGAGGGTCCGTCCGCCATGTCGCGGGCGTGGGAGCCGTTACGGGGAGGTCCGGCACCTACCTACGGGCTCTCCCCCAGCCGGCAGCTTGCGGGGGGAAGGCGTGCTCGCCATGATAGGGAGGTCGAGTCGTCGCGCTGCCGCTGCGGTGCGCCTGCTTAGCCGCGTCCGGCCCGCGCTGCTGCCCAAGGGGCGCCGGCCCGGGCTGAGGCCCGTGAGGAGACTCCTTCCCCTCGCCGCTTCCCTCAGCGGCTGGTCGGGCCTCGGGCGGCGCTGGCGGCTCGTCGGCGTTTGCGGACTCCAAAATGCCCCCTGGATGGCGGGGGGGCGCAGGTTTACCCCGCGCTGGTAAGGGCCGGGGGTGCCGACGGGAGCCGGGCCGGAGCCTCCCCCGGCAGCCAGCGAGGGCGTCCCGCCGGGGGACCGACCTCGCGGCGGTTCACCTTGCCGAAGGTAAACTTGCGAACCCCACCGTTCAGGTGCTTTTGCGGTTGCTGGCCTGTTAGCAGTTCAGTCCAAACATCCATAAAGCTTCAAGCACTCAACACGTAAAAGACGTTATTGATGGTGGTTGGAATTGTTTGCTTTGGGGGAGGAGGAGTGTGGGTTTCTGTGGGGTTTGTTTGCTTTAATTAAGCACTTTTAACAACAACTCTACTATCTCTAGGCACTCCTCACTGGATTCACTGTCTCTGTGGGACAGCCACCCCACCCTGATGCATGAAACACCCACGATTGCTGGTGTCGCTCATCAGTGAAAACAATATTTAATATCTGACAAAAAATGTGACTGTTCGTTTTTGTTGGTTTTTTTTTTCCCCAGTCTACAGAGGAAGCAATACATCAACTTACTAAGACAAGGGGTAGTTACATCTGAGGGAAGTATGAAGTAGAAATACATACAGTTGCATTTTAATCTTCACTGCTAAATACTTAAGCCTCTCCCCCTCCTTTAAAAGAAACAAAATTTACTCAGTTTTCCAACAGTATTTGTACCATTTTTATTTGTAAAAATAACCATCTGAATGCATTGCAATAGTAGTTTACAGTTAGGGTTCTTCATTACATTAATACAGCATTCAGTAGTTGAAAAAGTTACTAAACTGTGCTTGAGAAGATTCAGATTGAATTCCAAGTCATTCACTGAAGTAAGTCTTTTTCCTCATTTTGTATGTGACATTTACCCAAGTCCTTAAACTTCAATTTACAAAAGCAAACAATACCGACAAAACCCCACTGAAACCATCAAACAATATTTTATATTGTTTATTACAAATGTTATGCAAAATATAACACTGGCACCAGATTCGTATCACCATGGTTTGTAAAGATATATTGCACATGCTAAAGCATAAAATATAAGACAAAACCTACAAAACATAAGATATTGGCTTTAATATGTAGATCACTGCATAAGAAACGCATAAAATTACATTTTATACACACACTCAGATTGTCACTAGTTTAAAACGCCCTTTCCTATAACACTGACCTAAGGTTTACTTTTTGTGTAATAAGAAAGCATTTTCAGCACTGCAAAAATTATACATTATTCCTATAGAAATTTAGCATATTAATTTTCATTTCAATGCAGGTAGAACATATGAAAAGAAGAAACACTTTATACATTCAAAGAAGGTCTGAAATGAAAATTTACTGGTAATATATTGCTTTTATAACACTCAAATGAAAAAAAAAAAAAAAGACAAGTTTCACAAAACATTTCCATAATACACAAATATAAAAAGGCACTCTAATATTTCTTACATGACTAAGAATAAAAATCACAAATTTTTTTTTTAAATCATCCTCAAGATACATAACCAAGTTTCTCAACAGTACAATGGATAAACAATTCATTTCATGTGTTTGTTCTAATTCAATAATCTGGCAGTCTTTTACTGCATAAAAGTACCAAACACATTATGGTGCCCTTTAGTAGCGATGAACAGAAATCCCCTGAGCTATTTCACAGCAATTTCAGGCAGTCCGGAGGTTGTAACTCAGTATTTATGAGAGACTTGGGACCCCATCCTGCTATGGATTCTATCTGCAGCTATGGTTAAAATACAGGATGAAACGATCCTGCTAATACACCTGGGCAGACGGCTGCCCCTCCCCGAATACCCTCTGCTTGGTGCAGACATAGAAGTCATCCACATACTGTAAATTGCAGGATCCAGGGTTAAGTGCAACAATTACATACGATTAACTCTACTCTTGTAAAAAGTCCACAGAAAGGCAAGGTCATTATTTACAAGAGTAAAATTATTCCCATGCTTATATACCTGCCCTAAGTTACAAATTTATTTCTACATGTGATATATTACAGATTAATGTACTAGCATACAAAAAAAGGGATTCTGGTAACTCACATGAGATGTGGGATAGGCCAATACTGAGTACTTCCATGTGTCTTGCTCATGACAGTTTTCCTCCTAAATACAGCATACTCAAAACATAACTTTTGCAATGCCCTTAAGATGCTAACAAATCATATGTTTCTATGATTTTTGGAATATTGCATACTTACATCATTGTTAGTTTACAGAAAAGTTTAATCAGTAAAGTTTAGATTTGGTTCCTAGAAGGATCAAAACAATTTGGTAATCACCTATGCTTCTCTAATGTTGTATACATCATTAAGAGGCAGCAGTTGTTGCACTACACAATTATCAGAGTTACGAGGTATTGCAAATACACAGAAATACTTTCAGTAACTCTGTATGGCAGCAAGTAAAAATACTGGATTTTTTTAAATGGCTGCTTAAAATAATACAACATCCTCTTTGTAAAGAGGACTGGTTTTCTCCTAACAAAGCGACTTCATGTAGGATAGCGTAACTTTCTGTATTTCTGGGTGAGACTTATAACTAATCCTGCCAAGGACCCTACCTACATCTCTTAAAGTTAGATGAAAAGGCTGATCCTGCTGTTAGACAAGTGGCAGCCATTTCCCGTTTATTTGTTTTCAATGCCATCATTCCACATAAAAAAAACCCCAAAATTTGGGATTCTATTCATTTCTGAACAGACACCACTGAAAACTTTAACAACTGATCTCTCCTCTTATTTTCAGTGCTTAAAGTAAGGTGGTTATTGCTATTTTGCAACTTTTAAAAGCAAAAATGTTGAGAAAAAAACAATCATAAAAATGTTATTCTGTGCTATTTCTGAGGAGAAAACCAGAGTTTCAGGTGCTCTGTCATTCTACTGCAGAAAATATAGAGTTGAGGGAAAAGATATGTTCTCCTTTAGAGACACTGTCCCTAGTGATTTTTTGTTGTAAACTTTGGAAATTTGTTAACATTCAAGGAAGCAGTATTTAATTTTACCTAATGTTCAAGGAAACAAGATTTAATTTTAGCAAGGCAAAATAAACTTAATATATAAACATTTTTCCTAATTAAAGAACTGGAATCTGCCAATAGATTTTTAACAATTCAGTGGAACATGGCTAAAAACTGCAACTAAAATAAAATTCCTTACTTTTCATTTACCCTGCTGAAAGTGTGCACTAAGGAAGCTCACCTCATCCTCCCAGCACAGATGGAGGCCTGCAGACAGCCTGAGCGAGAATCACAGGAACCTTAGCACCTTGACTCCATGCTACACTATCTTTTCCCCTCTTTACTGTAGCTGTACAGTGTTCTCTCACTTGTCTAGCAAGGGGCTGAATCCTTTTCTTGTGCTCTTAAATGAGGGAAGGTGTTTTGCTTTCTGCTTTTTACCAATATAGCCTGTGGACTTAATCTTTGCATTCCATACAAGATGGGCACTCTCCCGAAGTGCATCAGCCCTTCCTTTTTCTACTCAGGTCATCAGCCTTGCCTAGATTCACATTTCATTTCGCATCATGCCAAACAGTATGCACAAATGCTAACTAGGAGAGCAAGCCATAGTTATTTTTCCTGGGCATTTGTTTCATTTCAAATAAATATAAACACATTTACATTAAAAGTATATGAACATATTCTTTAGTCTGGAGAAAAAAAATAACTGTGATCAACACATCATCAGTTACAAATGTCAACTTGAAACCTGCATCATAAAATGTAAAATTCACTCAAGACTACTCAATACCTCAAAAGTTTCTATTTTTATGGTTTAGAAAAACTACTTCATTATGTCACTCACATTTGAAGAAAAAATAAATGTAGCAAAGTCTTCCATTTAATTACTGAAGCATTTTGGTCCTCTTGGTACAGCTGGTTAGTTCATGATACCTTTTTGTTTAATTTTTTGTTTGTTTACAAAGTCTCATTCTTCCTTTTGTACATCTGTTGCAGTCGAGGGTCGTGGTCCATTTGACCTAGAAACTTTGGCAGAAGGAGTAAACATATTCACAAAGTTGACATTGCTTTAAAAGCTGGTGACAATAGGCTTTTTTAGCATGTATCTCCGATCCCCTGCACGGTACACTGCTATGTTTTCTGGTGTTTGGTATTTCAACTTTTGGTGTTATGCTTTCATTGCTTTACCTTTGCTCTGTTACTCCAAACGCTAGCAAAAGTATTTTAAAATTTGATACTGTTTACAGTAAAAATAAGTTATTTAAGCATAGAAAAGGAAAAAAATCCAGTTAAGTTGGCAAGTCATTATAAACTTTTACATAAACCTTTGTCTACACCTGATTTTTTTTTTCCCTTTTTTTTTTTTTTTTCCTGTTACTAGATTCATGGTTAATGGCTCAGGTGACAGAAACATCTAACGACCCTAATTCTGTAGTGCAAATAAACCGTACATGTTTGTGCTGAATTGAAAAAAAATAAGGGCCAAGTGATTTTCATTTTACACAAGTGGTTCCACTAATGTCCATGGGAAAATATGGTGAGACAAGTAGAATTTGGCCTTAAGAGTTAATAAAAGAGTTAATAACTATATTTTTCTAATTGTGTGCTGCAACTAAGAACTGTAAAAAGTGCCTTCTGTACGTTTAAGTGCTTAGTACATGCAGAATGTAAAAGGTTTCATTTCCTGTAGAAAAGTAATACAGGCAGTTTTAAGATTTACAACTTTACCTTTGGTTTGTGTAAAAAAAATTATCTAATTAACAGAGCCCCTGGAAGCAGGAAACAGACAAACACAGGAGAGGGGGGATGCTCGAATCTATGAAGGCTACACTGGAAGTATGTTTGTGTACTAAAGGTACAGCTAAAACATGTAAGAACTTTTTACAAACAGTTCCCTGTTTATTTGTGCTGTCAAAAAGAAAAAAGGCATTTTCTCTTTTTCTACTTAAAGAGGTAGAGACTTTCCACAGGGGCACTTAGGGCCTAAAGAAAACATCAGGAAGCTGAAAAGCTGCAGAACACTAATGGGAGTATGTTCCGGTAAATCCCTCTAACTTTGTTATTTAAAGGATTGGTTCTCATCAACACTAAAAATCTTTCAATACCTACTTGTCAAGAACAATAGTTAAGAATATAGCCGTGGGATTTAAGCTGTTTAAAAAGACAAAAATAAAGCTGAAATGAAATAATAATGACAAAAAGGTTTTGAATACCGAAAAGTCAAAATGTTTCAGAATCCGAATCATTTTCATTGTACCCATCCTCTGTTCCCATGTTATTACTCAAGGGCTTATTGTGAGAGTTAATGCTACCCATACTGGAGCCATCGCAGAGATGTGTCCTGCCCAAATTGTCTTTTTTAAAACAAACGAAGTTGAAAGCCGTCATTGAATTGGAGGGAGAAAAAGGCATCATGGTAGCCAAAATGAGTGCCAGGCAGTCAGCCACGTCTTTGTTAGGAGCGCAAGCCAGGGCTGGCGTATGACCTGGGCACAAATGCAGACAAGGCAATGGTTAGTACTAAGGGTACTGAGAATGGCACTGAGCATTCCTCATATACATCTCTAGATGATGTCATAAGCAGGAGATGTATGTTCAGTTACAATCATGCCAGGCAACAGGGGTATGTTACTTATTTTAAATTAGACATGCTGGGAAAATACACACTTTATGGAGCATTTAAACCACTGTGACCACAACAAGCACTATTTTTTCTTAAAATCAGGCAGCAAACAGACTTCACAATATGAATAAAAGCACTTGCTAAACACAGTTCTACAGCACAGACAGTATGATGAATACAGAACATGGGGAGTACAGCAACAGGGACAGAAACTGGCTTCAGTTTCTGTGCGTATGAACAAGGCTCATTCTGAGAACAATGACTTTCATTAAAACATAAAAGATATTAGTTTAAAAATATTTTGAAGTAACAAGCAAACGATTTTAAAGCTGATCAGTTGAGTATCTACTCAACTCAGAAAGCAGTTTATTTAGGAATTAAATTATAAGAGAAAAGAATTAGACCAGTGCACATGGTACATGTATAGCAGGTATGACTACGTGGATGTATAGTTACTCAAATTTACATTATGTTAGAAGAATAATGACTGTATTCAGAAGGCATGGCATACACTTTAAATACAAAGTTAATATTATACAGATGTCAGTGAAACAAAGAACTGGGGAGCTGTTAAAAGTTTGTCTTCACTGCAGTTTAACTTGGGTCCTGTCCAAGCGCTGCCCCTAAAGCAGCTCTTCATGTATGCAAATCTTGGAAACCAGTATGCTGATTACACTTGCTATCTATACATTTTGCAGGCTGCTGTGTAGTACTCCAGCACCTTCCAACAAATCCTCCTTTATGCTAAGAGCAAACAAATTCTTTTGCAGATGGCTAAATCTTAAGTGCTGCAGCAAACAGTAATCTGAGGCAATGACCACTACTGAGATCCTACTGCCTCAAGTAAGCCAAGAACGCCAGCAGTGTGGTGTGGTGGCAGAATTTGGTGGACAAATGTGAGGACAGCTTTGCAGCAAACTACCCACATTTAAGCACTGACTGTCAGCGGTGAATGCATACCCTAAATGGAATTTCCTCTTCCACTGAGTTCCAAGTGTCAACATTCTTTAGAGATGTACTTATACCAAGATTGTACTTAATTTTCTCTCTGCGTAAGCAGTTGTTCCTAGAAAAATTAAGTGTGTATAAAATTTAAACTTAATTTTCATTTTTTACATACATGCAAATTAGCTGGCTCAGTTTGTACAATTGTAATGATGAGAACTGTGGTTAGAAGCTAGTCTGGTTCATTTTTCTGTCCCATATCTCTAAAATGAGGTTAGGGCCAGATGACTTCAGTGGAACTCATGCATGTAAGTATACCTAGGTAGCATTTGGTTAATAGCAAATACTCACCACTCGGTTCTTTTCATCCATAGACCGCAAATGTCTTGCAATGATGGGTGAGTATTATTACTGTTACTTTACAGATATGGGAAGATGGAGGTACCGAATTGTTACATTAATGCCATGAAGTCAGTATTGTAAGAAAGACCAGCTTATTTCAGGAAGACATTTTTGAAAACATTAATTATAGAAGCACAGCCCTCTATGGGCTTTATAATGTTTAGGGAAGGACTTCATTGAGATCTGAAACAGAATTATCAGATTTATTAACTAATGATATATTTTATGAGGCAACAGTAATTTACTTGCATCTTGGATTAGGTCAGACAATTGGTAAGCACAAGCTTTGATCTCAGAATGAACTAGGACACAATCAAACGTATGGTGATGGTTTTCTTCCTACCCATTAAAACATGCGCTGATTGAATGCATAATCCTTAATTCTTCTGCAAGGCGTCAGAATTATCCGGTGCCACTTGCATGTTTAGGAAATTCAAGTTACCACTGCACTCAAGCATTAAAAAAGACTAGCTGTTGACAGTACATGCAAAATGAACAGTAAAAGGGACCGCTGTGATGTTTAGAATACATTTTTATATTAAAGAAAAATAAATAGTGTCTTTTTTTTTTTTTTAATAGGTACTCACACAGCTCATTGTCTGTTCTTGGAAGGATAAAAGCATCAATGATGTCTATCATCAGCTTTTAAGTCTATTGCTTCAGTCTGCTGTAAAATTACCTGTTGGGTCCTACTGAAGATTGTCAAAGTGTATTGTTTACTTACCATTTTCATCTACTGCTAGGACACATGCCCCTTTGGCTAGCAACTCTTCAACCACCATCTTTAAGCCGTTTCGTGCAGCAATGTGGAGAGGTCTACAATAACATAAGAACTAAATTGAAGTTCAGTTTAAAATAGACTTTCTAAAAAAAGTTAGGTAATGCTTAAAGCACACCCAGCATCTGAAAGAGAATGTTTTCATTCTTTGGATCATTATAATTATACTGTTGACGTTAAATTATATTACAGCCTTTAAAATAATCATGTTTCACATCTATAAAACATATGTGCAAGACAAATAAAATTACCTTTACATACACAAAGATTGCTTAATACTTTCCAGTCTAAAGGCCTTCTTTAAAAAGCTCCCATTTTTCCACTGTTTGCACCACATAATTGACATTTAAAAGGAAAAATGAATCTTAGACTGAAGAAATGCCTTTGTTCCACCCCTAATTCTGGCTACTACAGACTGTTGAAAATCAATGTATTGCCTTCTTATCCTTGAATACTCCTTTGCTAATCTCTGTTACTGCAGAGCAGCTGGAAATTAAAAACAACCACTGGTTTGCTCCTCTCCTGGGCCAACACACAGGGCTCCTGTTTGGGGGCAGCTAGTGGGACACGAAAAACAATTTCATATTGGAAGGGGGGAAAAAGGGCTAAGATGGAACAAATTCTTCCACAAGCACTAGATGATCTGCCACCTGAACTCGTGATTGAATATTCTACTGTAGCATACCAGTCAAACAGTTGCAGCTGGAGTAAGAATATCAATGGTTCTAACTCTGCAGATAATGTATGGTATGGACAGGAGTTGCACAAAAAATATCACCTAAAAAATGCCTCTGAAAATAAAATGTACCACCTTAAGGGTAAATGAATTATTTAGATTTAAGGTGAAGCTCAAAAAGCTAGGAAATGCCAGATGTGTACTTACACATTCACATCATTAATAGACATTTTGATATAGTCTTCAAATAAATGACCTCATATAATTTTTCCACCAGACCATCTATAAAATTGGCATCAAAAGAATCAAAATTGAAAGTGAAAATGCAATATAAATCTGGTCTTTTCAAGGGCAAGCACTCAAAAAAAAATCAGAAATGAACTTTTCTATTCTATGAAAAAATGTGAGACATGAATATGAAATGCTAAATAGGAATCTTCTGGTAAGTCAACTGAACTTGAGAGGATCAGGCTATACTTACGTCTGCAATGCATTATTTTTTGCATTGATAAGGCTCTGTTCTTGTATCTTGTCAAGTATTAACAAGGCACATTTTTCATGACCCTGTAAGTTGGGAAAAAAAAATATAGTGTTAATTTGCTGAGGAGTTTGAAATTGAGGCAAAAGAAATGTTACATATAAAAGTGAAATTTAATACCTCAATTTGAAATACAAAACATGCTACTCAGTTTATAAGGATCTGTAGTAGGTGAACTGTAGGAGCCTTAAAATACCATTTACGAACTGCCACTGCTAGGATGCTTTACCACATTTAGAAATTTAGACATTCACCTGTCTTTCAACCCTCCATCATTATATATGAATTCACCTCCTTGGCTTTCAGAGAAGACTACCATTTCTCTTGAGAGAGCATTCAATGGATTATTTATTAGAACTACACAGTAACATAGGAAGAGATGGTTTAATCTCAGAAATGAATACTATACTTTCTGGGTCTTCAAATGCTTTTCTGTATTATTAATAAGCTACTACAAAATCCCTTCAGTGTGACAGCTCTAACAATGAAACTTCAGAAATAATACAGATCTGGGCCTTATTTCTGATACTGTTTCAGAACAGTGAGTCACAGGTGTGGAGACAGGTGTGGAGCCTACAGCCTTGGCAGGTGAACAGCTGCCTGAAGGACCTTGAGAATTCAGCAAGGCTCATGTGTCTGCAGAAACTGGAGTAATATTATCACACTAGAATCCAATCTGTGGATAGGAGCAAAAGAAAAGACCCAGGAGAGGGAATCCCATGGGCATTTTTTCTTGCAGAAACACCAGTAGCAACTGGAATTAGGAGGAAGAAAGTGTGGGAAAAGACACCACCACCAATCTAATGAATGCCTCTGGTTTTACTGCTACAGAGCGTAAGGGAAAATTTTGGGTTCCTTCCACAGAAATTGGAGAATAAGAAAAAATTAATAAATACCTTTTTTTTTTCCTGAACCTATGTTAAGCTATTTTACAGTGAGATTATTTGGTAAAATCTTGAAGGATTTTCCATTATTTCTCTTAGTTTCCCTTCCTTGTGTTTCAGCTGTCGTAAGAGGCATCTGTATTTCTCAGTTTTCTAAACCTTGAAACAGATTTGAGAAAAAACTTGGAACAATGCTCCCTTCCTCACCACAAGTTTGATCATCACATTTCCATTGCAGAAGAATTTTTAGGAGTGTAAACACACACACACACATACATACAGACTGTGAAGAGAACAGAAGCATACAGATGTCTTCAACTTACTTTACTGCTAGCCAAGTGCAAAGATGTATTCAACTCCTTATCTTTTAATGTCAGGTCAGCCTTGGCAATGTTCACCAAGAAGTCTGAGGTATAGAATAGAAATCAATGAACAAACCCAATGGGCAGATGAACATGTAAATACAGAGGAAAAAAATTTACTATTTCAGTATACGTATGTGTACATGCTAATCAATTAAGCCTTTATGTGATGTAACCTTTATGAACACAAAGTGAAAATAATGAATTAGAAGAGACAATTTTGTGCAGTTAATTAGCAAGCAAAGGCAGAGCTAATAGCTCATTTGCTGTGCCCCAACTGTCAAACATACATTCACGTTAATTTATTTATAAACTTCCTCATTTGCAGATCAGCAAGTTCTGCCTGAATCACTTTCTCCTGAGAACAACTGTGGATCCTGCTTTGAGAGGACTAAGTGGATATAAAGAATTTAGGGTGCAGTCTGTGCTGTTGAAGCTAGAGAAAAGGGAATTCTGTTAAACCAATATGACCCTAATCTGTATGTCTCTAGTATATAGTCCAGCCTGGAAAAGCACCTGCTGATAGCTGCCATTTTAAGAACAGGACTTCCTATAATAGAGCGGAAAAAAGGTTACACAATCTTTTTCACATGTGCAGTTTTACTGCTTCATAAAATCAAGGAAGTAAACAGGAGAATAGAATTACCACTCCCCTCATGTTCTTTACAGTGTGCTTTTAGGAGGAAATAAGAGTCAAGTTTATTATTGCAAATGTTCACCAAGACTGCTGAGGAATGATGACTGAGAAGAAAAAGCATTTTTTACAGATGTAAAGGTAGCTTCTTACAGTCATCCACACAATTTATTTTTCTTCCTTAGTTTTTACAGGAAAAAACCCAACTACTTATTTGGGATAGTAACTGCAGTAGCACTCACCCTTCAAGGTGAACAGAGGCAAGGATGTACTTACCTACAGCACCTACGTGACCATTTTGAGCTGCCATCATGAGAGGTGTTTTCCCTGCGTGATCCGCAGCATTCACTTGTGCGCTGTGACTCAGGAGGAGCTGGAGGCACTCCACGTGATCTGCGAAGGCTGCTGCGTGAAGGGGTGTTCTGTAGGGAAAGTAACACCACCACAGCTGTTGCTAAAGAATGACAATGTTCCTGTTTACTTACCTTCCCAAGAACCTGAAAGTGTAAGACATTTTTAATTTTTTTTTTCCTGCAAAACTTTGAGTTATCACCAGGGGAACGTTATAGTAGCAGCATCTGAAATAAGTTAAATAATATTTACAGTCTCTGTCCTGGTGCAATATAAACTTTAAAAAAAGGGAAGCATAAGGTAGATATGATACTGTGGAGAATCTCATATTAGCAGCATATTTATTTTCATGGAGCATACTGTGTAATATGAAAAGCAGTACAATCCCTCATTCTTATTAATCTGATTTTATTTTTTTAACAAGCTTAAGATGGGAAGAACTATCAGAAAAGAACAGATCCAATATTAAAAAAACCTAAAGTATTTTAAGTTATAGTCAAAGATACTGCAACAAGCTACAATAACAGCATTACTACAAAAGGCGGAAGGAATTCTATCCACTCTGAATGTCATCAGTTTCCACAAGACTGAGACGCTAGAATTCGTTCGCTGTCTCCCTATGGCATTTTGGGTCTGAAGTGTGACTAATAGAGATGAAAGATAGTTGGTACACAACCCAGTTGTGTCATAGTGTTACTTCAGGTTTTGCTTATCAGTAAGGGTGAGGTGGTCTTACCCTTACAGGAGTAAGTAATCACCACTACTGAAGGTCTTGAATTTGTTTTAATTAATAGAAACAATGAGTATTCAATTTTTAGAATTCCAGCAATTTTAATTAAATATATATACACACACACATAGTGAGGAGATTACTGATGTGACAAATTAAGGATCTGGCTGAATGCATATCTCTTGCTTTATCAGTATTATTTTGCTGCATAGATGTTTTGAGTTGTGTGCCCTGAGAATGCTAACATAACATTAAAGCTTTTAATGAAATACTTTTCTAAGCGTACACAGTATCACTCCATTTAGCAAAGATAAACGTGTTTAAATATTTAACAAAAAAACTGGTTCAGGGAAACAGCCTATAGTCATAGCTGTTCTAAAAAAGCAAAATACTGTTTCTTTTGTGTTTCTTTTCATATGCACTATGAAACTGAATACTTCATAGTATCCTTGCTTCAAGTGAGCCACCATTTAAGTATTGCAGTGTAAATTGCTGTCTGAAAGAGTCAGCATGACAAGGCTTAGCTCAACTGTATCAGATAATGATTAGTTCCAGAGGTTCAGAAAGAATTATGAAAAATACTAGATGGATTCATGAAGATGAAATGCAATTTGTTTAAGAAACTATTACCTTCCTTTGTCATCTTTGCAATTGACAATGCTGGCATCGATGGCTCCGATGAGCAGTGATGCACAGTTTTCGTGATCATTGATTCTGCCGAAGACAAGACATTTTCAAAAAGGTAAAAAGTCTACATCTTTTCCCACTTTCCAATATTAATTTAGTTCACTTCCCATTAATATTTCTTATTGTTTGTTTATAAGTTATCCTAACATACCTTTGCCATAATGCTTTCAGTCACATTTCTTATTATTCATCATCTCTCCATTTAACCAAACTGCATCTGATCCTATGAATTTCAGTCTCTAAAGCAAATCTGATCCTGCAATTCACTATGCACAAAGGTAATTGAGAGTGGAGCACAAATCTAGGATTAAAACCTTAATACTTTAAAATCCTTTAGCTTAAATGTCAAACGCACCTGGATCTGGAAAGCACTCAGTTGTAGATACCTACATATAGAAAGCTTTATTCTAATGTTTTAGGTAGTGAAGCCCACATCTCTTCCAACTCACACATTTAATAATTTTCCTTGATGGATGTACTCAATTAATACTCTTCCTGGTTATTGTTAATTTGTCTCATTTCATTATGAAAATGAACAGTGTTTAGTAACAGTACTGGACATATAGTATAGCTAATACACACACACACTGGATTAGCAGCTGTTTTCATTTTAAATTTGCAAGCATTTTTAAATTGCACGCATTTTTAATGGGTTTGAGAATTGCACACTAGTTTAAAAGAATATAAATATTGAAAAAAAAAATCTTCAAAGCCATCACTAGAAATTCAGATTTCATATACTATGTTTCAGCCACAAATTATTTTAATTTAAGCAGAGTAAGAACAGTGCTTTATATATGCTTTTATTTCTCTAATATATTGGGGTTTTTATAATTTCAAAGTTTGATACATGACGAATTACCTTTCTACTTTCCAGTGATGTGAACTGTAGAAGGGAAGCCTACACAATAGGAACCCCTATCATTACTTCTGGAAGACATTCATTCTTCTAATAGAACATAGAATAGAATACAGTCATTCTAATTGTTGGCAGAAATTAGGAAGGTTGGCATTTGATTTTTCAGTGCTTAATTCCTTACTCTTCTGATGGCTTACATGTTTTAATAAGCATGTTAGGTCCTACAAACTAAAGTAATCTTGCATTTTAAAAAAAATGCATTTGCAATTATGTTATGAAAAGTTACGATTTTTCTCTACTAGAATCCTTCCCATATGAAAACATACTGCTTTATTTGAATAAAGAGTATGTATAAAACACACGCATGGAAGAAGACGAATAACTCATAATAGCGACCACCTTTTTTGTTGTTCATAAGTAATATGAGAACTTTGGATACAGAGTCTGCCTCTACAACCCACCAATCCCTTTGGCTAGGACCTGGGTAAGAAGTATCAAACCTTCAAGATAGAGGTTATCTCAGAAGGAAAAAAGATCATGAAGAAAATCTGTCTGGAAAACACTCAGCTGAGGATGTCTTGGAAAATTATGGCCTGCACAGAACACCATTCTAGCATGACATAGATCGTTGTTTCAAATCCTTCCTTCATTAATGCTTTGTTCCTATTGCTAAAAAAAATCATCTTGATTCTGACAAATTTCTTAACTTTCAGCCATTGGGTTTCAAAGGAACCTCAAAAGCTCATACTTACATGGACCAAGGCCCTACCTATAGCCCAGGTCATGGCCTAAGAATAGAAGAGCTATGAAGTTCCAGCCTGTGTGAAGAAAAGGCATAGGTCTGTAGTTGCAAGCAAGGGAAAAGAAACTAGAAAGGGAGCAGAAATGCAGCTATTTAATTACAAGTCAGAGTTTCATTAAATAGCCTACATGTATGAAATTTATGCAAAAACACTCTTTATTCTGCCACCTTTTCAGCAGAAGTATAAGCACAATTTTATGATCAGCTTTCAAATTATTTGCTCATGCAAATAATCTAAAAAAAAAGAAAAAAAAAGAAGGTGCTTTCTTTTCATACTGCTACTTTTTCCAGACCTATCCTAAAGCATTTTTACTGGAGATTTCTACTTACACAGCACAGTGCAATGGAGAGAAGCTATTACCATAGAATGTGCGGAAAAATTTTTGTTCCAATAGTACCTCTATGCAGTTTTCATGACCTATAAGAGAGCAGACATTTCACAGTGTTGCACAAAGCAAGTAATTAACTTAATTCATATTAGGCTTATACAGATTAGAATGTAACGCTAAATTCAAATTTGAACACAATGTGTATATAAGCTCTTAAGTGATGAAATTATAAACAGATTTTTTTTTAATGTCAGCAGCAAGATAGATCCAGCCTAATATTAGCACTTACTGAAAAAAAGGAAAGGAAAAAAAGGCTCTTTTTTATGTGATATTATGTATATTGCCTTACAGATCTCCAAAGATGGTCTTACATGATGATATTAGGAACTTTTATCCTTATATTAACCAACAAGTTCAGATTATCCAGTTTAGAATAATCAGTTCAGTTCAGAACATCCATCTATTCACATGATCTCTTGCATCAATAAATAAGAAGGTGACACCTCAAAGGAGCACTCCTGGCCCCAGTGAAATTGATGAAAATTTCATCACTGATGTCAGTAAAACCAGAGTTTCACCCTGGCCTCCTGTGACTGGGAGCAAATGAGCTGCAAAGCCACTGGGAGGTATTGCTGGAATTTCCCTGGCTTCTGAACTGAAGGGTGAACATAGCAAATGCTAACTACAGAGAGCAAGTAGAGGGGAGATAATTTGCCTCTTCATTTCAAGCTTCTCAAAGTGTTACGCTGCTTTGTTATCATGTTTCCCTAAAACTGAAGCCACATTTGAACTTGGCAAAAGTCCACAGGGAGAAACTTACCATTGTAACAAGCCCAGTGCAGTGGTGTATAACCTTGATTATCTTTCAAACTGCAGTCTTCCTCTGAAAGTGCTATCTGCAGTAATTCACTCAGCCAAGTGGCGTGACCCCGAGCTGCTGCAAAGTGCAGAGGTGTTCTGCCTCTGGTGTCTTTACATAAAATAGATACTTCTTTCTCTAACAGCATCTGAACACACTCTTCATGTCCAGTCATAATCTGATAACAAAGAAATGAGTAAAGAGGTTGACATAATACAGATTCTTGCATAGGAAATATGGAATATGATTGATGCCTGTGAACATGAAATGGCCTGGATGGGATTCAGAAGGCAGAGATGAAAGCTCCTTTGCTCCCATGAGTACCTATGATAACTGATACACTGAAATGTATTTAGTGCTGTCTTTCAAAGGCATTGATTGCTAGTCTGTGGAAGAGACTCCACTAAGTGAGGCACAAAGCAAGGAGGAGTTTAAGACTAAGGAAACAGAGTCTGGCTTCTCAAAACCATGCATGAATGTGAGAGAACTGAGGAAAAAAAGGATCAAGAATGTAATCTGAAATATGAAAAGCTGCTTTAACAGCTGGCCAGCTACTGTCAGTGACCTCTGCATTGTACATAGGTTAGCTTTGGTATCTTGGGCATGTTCATGTATTGCTATCAGTACAGAGCAGAATTTTTATGCCATAGCTTTTATTACGGACTTCTGCTGGACTCCTGAGCTGAACTGCTCACTGCAGTTATCATAGAGTTCTGTATAAATATCAGCTCTTCCATCAACTTCACATTGCTGACTCCTAGAAAAGATTCTATCTGCTTCAAGTTTCACTGCCTCTAGAAAAAACTTAAGGCTTACTTATTTACACTATCCTCCCCAAGAAAAATGGAAATAACTGCTGGGCAGTTCTTTTAAAGAAATTGTTTTCAGAATTCAAAAGGTGCTCAGTTATAAGAATAATGATTGCTATTGTAAAGTGTCTAGAGCCACGAAAAAAAATGGTCTAATCAGTATTTTAGCTAATTGATTAAAGCGCACTTGAAACAAAGTCAAAAGCAGAGCATTACTGACAGCAGATGTGTCCTGATTTTTACCTTGTTGACTGTGCTTGGTAGTGTTTCCAATCATTTACAGTATTCCCTACATTCAATATCCCTGTATTTTTAAGTGAGTTGTAGTCACAGTAAAACAAATAATTAAGAACCATAAAAATTAAGTCACCCCTCGATGTAAAGCTGTGCATCCCAGGAGATCAGCTGCATCTACAGATGCTTCTTTTTCAAGTAATAAAGAAACAGCATCAATGTGCCCATATGCCACTGCAAGCATTAGTGGGGTTCTGGAAAAAAAACAAAACCAAACCAGTCACAGCTATAAAATGACATACTATTGCCACTGCTAACTTAGAGGAACACAGAAATCAGGAAGCCCTGCATTTCTCTCCATTCCTACCCACAAACCTGTTATGTTCACCATACTCATTTATATAACACCCAAGTGAAGATCTTTTGTATGAAATTATTAAGATGTTTAACAACCAACTACCATGACTAAAATAGAAACAAACTCATTTGTAAGCAGTTTACAGAGCAACATCATTCAAGACAATCTGTTCTCTTAATAACCTACAACTACTGTCACCTCCAGCAACAGACACATGAGCTTTACAATACCCAAGTGTTGTGAATGTATGTCTCTGCTAGTTACCAAGATGACAACCACCCAAAGCATTTCTTTTGCAAATGCTGCACAGTTGCTTAAAGGAGATGAAGGGACACAAGGAAACTATTCAAGCCAAAATTTGGACTAACATATCTTCCATTTTTTTCTGAAAGAGATCTGTTCTCCTTCTATTTTCAGATAAGACTAATACCATTTAAAATTGTATGTACAGTCAAATATGTTCCAGGCACGCCAAATGAGTTTTTTAAACCATTCATATTTTCACTTTAAAAATATACTTTATTCTCCCTCTATAACCATCATTTAATGAGAAGTAAAATTTTTGTAGGAACATCTCAGATGCATGTGTCACCTCAAATAAACATTCTGTCCCACTGCTTTTATTGAATCTGGCCCTCAGCATTTATGAAGAATTGTTTAAAGTATGAAGCAGAGGCTAAGATTAATGAATAATCCTTTCCACATGGCTTAGATCAGCTGAATGTGTACTTTGCAATCTCTGCCAAATTCTATAAGGAGAAGTGCAGGAAATACAGTATTTCAAATAAATGCTTTTTTTGTGAGAAGTCTGAGATGCTATTTGAATCACAGAGCCGGAAAAAAACCATTACAAAGAAAACTTACTGTCCTTTGGCGTCTGTCACATCAGGGTTGTCTGCAACTTCTAGCAACAGCCGTAAACAAGGTGTATGACCATTAATGACTATAAAGAGAAAAAGTATGTTTAATTAAAATATGTTTAATTTCAGGTACTTTTCCATTGGAATGTGTATGGATAAGAAATTTCCTTATAAACAAAGAAAATATTCCACAGTATAAGAAATTAATATTCCCACAATTTTCATTTAACTTGTGCTGATTAAATAGTGAGCTGTTTTTTCCCTGACCTCAGTAAGACAAGGATTAGTTCTCTTACATACAAAAATCCCAAACGAGTAAAACAGAAATCGTGATTTTCACTACTGAGATTTCTACTAAACCAGACAGCATTTCAAAATCCCTCAGACCGAGCAGGCAGACAAGGCTTTCTGGGATCACATTTGGAACGCAGTAGGAAGTCTGTCGGCAAGGCTTGTTAATTTTGTGTGCACTGTACAAGCAAGTTCTTCAGCGCTGCTATGAAAAAAGAAGCATCTGCAAAGAATGACCAATGATGCAAATGTCATATTCATAACAGCACATAACACCAGAGACTAAAATTCCCTTTGGGTTTTTCCATCTCTTCTCATTTAATGTTATTGGAAGCCACAGCTACTTCTCCAAAACAGGGTTTGTTTTTTAAAATGTAACCCGTTGCTGTTGGAAAACAGCTCTGAGTTACTACGTTTTGCAGGGCCCGACTCTGTAAACCCATCTGTGTGTCAGCTGGCTTAAAGGCCTCAGCCTTTCATGGATGAAGAGAACAGTATTTTCTTCTTTGAAAAACAATAATCCCTGTACTCAGTAGATATAGATTGTGTTCTTATTACAGCAAGTCATGCATTCACACTGCCTACACCCTGTGGGCTGAGGCAAAACCCTTGGACACCACCTATGTCACATCATTCTGGCAGAGAAATGGGTGCACATCATCACATTTAAATCACTCATCCAAAAATAATCTTAGTTGCTCTACCCAGAAAAATAAAAGACATTTTTAGTTATTTACCACTAAGTAATGCCATATACATAACATGTAAACAGTTCTTCAGGGCTGATGACTCACTGGCTTAGGGGGAAAAAAAAGATCTGTTCCTTCTCCCAGCAGGAGGAAGAGAAATCATAACTTGTTCACACCGACATCTGAAAAGGATTTTGGTAAATGAGTTTTAGAACAGATACTCCCAGAAACTCTTAGGAGCTGACCCAGCGATTGCTAAGCATTACAGACCCTGCAGGGAACATTAGTTTTGCCAGCAGAGCTACAACACTAACACCAGGGGAACATTTGCAATGGATTCCCCAAGCTAGCCAGAGGAAAGACTGGTGGTAATAAAATTATACAGGGAACATATAATTTAGGCTGAGGAAATTCTCCATATTATGAGGTCAGAGGAAGTCTATTCCCTGAGGGGGACACACAGAAAAAAGAAATACTTCATTAGGTGATTTCTCTACTAAAGTTACAAATCCCTTTATTGGACAGAGCTCTGCAGAATCCTGTAATCCAATCCACCACTTCAGGTCTCCTTAACCGCTGTGTTCAGCAATTGTGTTTGTGTAATTTGAAGGAATGAAGGCAAACACGTTTAAGGGGATGGGCACACATGCCTTCTTGTTTCTTTCCAGTGCACAGTATTGCACATATGAGTATCCGCTTTTGTGTGTGCCAATCAGCACTGTCACTCCAGGGATTAATTCAGCAAGAATTCTGTTTAATTTCTCAAAATACACCATTACACCTCTTACACTTGCACTGCAAATAAACTGCTCAATGCTGCAGTGGCACCACGCAGAGCCTCCAACAGGTGGCATCACTCTTTGCTAAAACACTCCTAACCAAAACGTATTGTTGTGAAACAGCATAATAAAAATCATCAGATTGCAAGTGGCTTTTTACTATAGTTGGAGATAGAAGCTTTACTCCAGAGCTAATTTCCACAGAACTCTGCATAGCTCTTGAGTGGAAGGTTCTAAACGCCCTCTTAATGGATATTTATGCAAAGTGCACTTATCTCACATTTGAAAGCCTCCAAATTCATGACAGTGATAAATTTCCTTTACTAAAAGTTCAAATACTCAACCCGTCCACGCACTATTTTCCCTTCTGCTTAAGGTACATGTTCTCTTTAGCGTCTCATTCCTCTGTGTAGGATTTTCTTGCCTTTTTTTTTTTTTAAATACATACCTAACTTATTTTGCTTCACTGCAGATTTAAAGAACATTTTGCTTGTCTCCCTGGAAATTCTTTTTTAATCTGAGAATTCAGATTAAATTTAATCAGACCAGAAAAGTCTACAATGAATCTTCCTACTGGTTTTACATGGAAGGCACTCATACTACAGTGATGGGGGCAATTAAAAAAGAAATTAAAATAGGAAAAAAACACCCACAATCAGATTTGTATGAAGGTAAGAAATGTGTGTTTTAAAAGAACACCTTTTATTCAACAAATCTACTCAATTCTACTCAACAGATTTAGTCAACAAATTAATATTTTAAGTCAGAGCTGCTAACAAAAACATGGCTTTGTTACCATTTACTTTTCTCAGTACTGCAGAACCCTTACAATTCAGCTGTGACAAGAAACCTATGTCACTATAACCAAATTTTTAAATAAATGCAAAATCATTGCTATAGTGATGATGTACCAAAGTCACACCTTGTTCATCATCAGACCCCAAGTTGTGTTTGAAGTGAAAGCTCTTGCCCAACACAGCTTCAGTCTTGTGGTGGCAGTGATCTTGATTTAAATTAATTAAACTAACAGTTTTAACAGGGTGAAGATCAGCTGGATTTAATATTCTGTGTTTTTATCGAAAACAATGAAACCCCCTCTCACTGAATTCTGGTCTCAAACTTCTGACATGTAAACTCTGGCAGCATATCTCTATATCATTAATTTATTGTGGGGAGTAATGTACTCAGTTCTGATGCAAAATTTAAGAAGGCAGAAAGCATTTTTTAGCGTGCTGTGAAGATTGATTACGTGCATTTTCTTCAGTACTGCAGACAACATTGATAATAACCTGTTTGATCTTATGCTTCCAGGCTGCAGCTATATGATCACACACAGAGAATAAAATGGTATTAGAGGATGTATATGCATTTTAATCTAAGAAAGATTAAAAGATAAGCAGAAAGACAGTTAAGTCTGACCCTGAAAATAATTGTTATCCAATGAGGTGTTAATGTTATTTCCCACTAGAGGTCACTGCTATGCTGTACTGAGCTGCTCGATGAACAGCCAGAGGAGCAATGTTCCCCTTGGCACCTCCGTGTTTTTATCTGACAGGTACTTATTAAATAACAACCTTTAAATAAATGGCAAATTCTACATTTTCCAGTTAATTATGCACGTTGCATAATTAATACTCAACACATGAGAAATGGAGCAGACTCCCAGCAAGAGCAAGTTCACAAGCTAGCTCAGGAGGAGGGTAATGTCTGAAACAGGGGTGAATTTCTCTAGTGTTGCCACTGCAAAATGTTGGAAGTTTTGAACACCAGGATAATTGCATCACCAATCAAAGCCTACCTGTATTTTCAATCTTTCTTCTGTAGGAGAAGCAGTGAGGCAAGTGTTCTCTCTTCCCCTGATTTTTTGGCAGAGGAACCATTAAGAGGTGTCATAGGGGAAACATAACACAGCTTAAACAGTAGGTGGTAATAGAGAGGCAAGGTAAAGTAAAGGCAAGCAGGTAAGGACAGAGAAGCAGTGGTGTGGAAAAATATGGGATTCTGTGTGAGGGAGGACTGAACCATAGGGACAGAGGAAAAAAGGCCAAGGAAATGAAAGATAAAGGGTTCACTGTAGGACCTCAGCAAACAAGCAGCAGTCCTCAATACATGTCAAAATCTCCTTCTTCTATTTAGAAGAAATGTGCACAGGGATAGTAGGTAGGTAAAGGTAAATGCTTCTGTGTTGTAGGGTTTATACCACAAGTGTAACATAAGCCCACGCTCACCTGAAGCATGGAGGGGGGTCCTTTTTGTGACATTGTCTTTTACAGTAACAGAAGCACCCTGGCTGATGAGAGCTTCCACACACTCTGCATGTCCTTTAAATGCAGCCAGGTCCAAAGCAGTGCGTCCCTTCTCATCCTTAATATCCAGATCTACCAGAGATTGGAGAAGTACCTCCAAGGCTTGATGATGACCATTATAGGCCTAGAAATACAAAATGTCTCATGTAAAGAACACAATTCTTGTCTTTCAAAGACTTTCACATAAAACGTGAATAAAATCTGTCATTGTCACAGTCTCCTAAACACAGTAGAAATCACACAGTTTTCTTGATTCCTTATGACTCTCCCTTCAACCTGAAAGGATCTTCCCAAATCACACTGTAGCCAAGAAACTAAAAAATTCCTAGTGTTTAGGAACAGAATTTATGATTGTTGGTTTGCTTTAACCTCCTAATACAACCCAAGGTGAGGAATTTCAGACAATAATTCACCAATTCAGCACAGGTGAATCAACAATTCATTTTTCACATTATACAGTATCTTTCAGGGAAATGTTTGTTTCAAAAACTAGATTCACTAGAGTGATGCTGGTCTGAGGTCGCATGAATTATCACCTAACTGGGTGCTAAATTCAACACATCTGCTGGTCTCCAACTAAATGAAAGCAATTCTCAAAACGGATTTTTGAACAAATACAAACAAATTTGACCTGCTGTTTATAGCTGATGCTTCATGGCGTACTCCTGCTAGTGGGATCATTTGGTACAACAGCTACAGTGGACAAGTAATGCAATTCCAGACCTACAGCCACATTTGGGCCAACAGCACAAACACCAGTGACATTGCAAAAAACCACTGGATAGCTCCAGAAACTGGAACCATTTCATTCAACTTTGTAGGGACTGCCCTCCTCTCCTTACTGTCAGACTCACAGAGAACATCCTTTTTATTTATACATGAACATACAATTAGTATTATCAGAGTTGAAGCAATTAATGAAAACAGAAGAGCAATGCAAACATCAAGGAACCAAAAAGCCACTGAATTTCAAGGTTAAGTAGTGGTGGCAGCAGCTTGCTCCTAGTGACCATTGTCAAAAGTTCAAAAGAACAGGACAGTGCAGGGAACACTTGTTTCCCTGTTAGACCAAGAAAACTACTTAAGGAAAGCAGAAAGGCAAAGGCAGAAAAAAAACCAGCAAAGGGAGATTAGGGCACAGGGAACCCATATCTCAGAAAGTACTCCGACACAGTTGTCAGCTTTTCTTCTTCATGACAATTTTACTTAGAAAACAAATAGCAACAGCGTGATCTTTGACACAATATGAGGTATCTTGAAGGTGCCATGCAGACTGTATACCCCATCCCCTCCTTGACAGGATAATAAAGTTGACTTTTTCTTCCTGTTGGTTTGCCTTGTACAGTCATTCACTCAACCATGATCATAACTATGCACTATAACCTCAGGGAATAGCAGGTCAGCATTTTGTTGGCTGCTAATCCATCCCTTGTTTCTAAATCCTATTTCCATTCTAGGGTCAAATGTCTGTAAGCAGAGGCCTTAGCCACTGCACTGTATCAGCCATTTAACAGGACTTCATGTTTTGGTGTAGGTTGCTGACTTTCTGGATCCACATGTGGAGAGATTCACGAGTACACTGCTAGACCTGGGGAAGGATGGCCACAGGCACTGTAATACATGGGAGGGTTTGAAACAAATGTCAGAGACACTCCTGGATAGCTGCAATTGAAGTGTGAAATAGTGATGTTTCATGCAAGCTTTTAATTTTTGAACTGTGGGTTTGGGGTGTCTCAGGTGAATGAATTGCTGTTAACCAGCAACAGCTGTAAGAGTGAAAGCACTGGCAGTGTCCTTGCAAGGATTCTGCCCAAGAGGGACCAGAGAGGAAATGAGGTTGCTGTCTGACCAGCTGCAGGGCAAGTCCCTTCCCTGCACAGGAATTTATGTTGGTGATAGTGCAGGTTGTAACTCTTCTTTGGGCTTGGAAGTGACAGTATCCTTCCCGCAGTCTTCAAATTGCAGAAAAAAAGATAGGAAGAAAAGTTCAGTGACAAATTCAGTCTTTTAACCCAACTGTTTTGGCTCTTGTTCCCTCAGATTACATGTGCATAATTCAAATGTCAGGCCGGAGCTGTTCTGGCTGACTGGGAAACAGAGATATGATCACTACAGAACTAAAACTTGCCCCTATTTTTGAGTAAGCAAGTTGCTTCCCTTTCAAGAGGAGGGCAGCTTCACAGTGAGGTTGGGTATTCAGTGAAGAGCCAGTCTGTGAAAGGTGTATGAGGAGAGGCTGAGAAAGCTGGGACTGTTCAGCCTCAAAAAGAAAAGGCTCCACAGGAGGTCTTACCAATGTGTATAAACACCTGATGGAGGAGCAAAGGAGACAGAACCAGAGCCAGACTCTTCTCAGGGGAGCCCAGTGACAAGACAAGAAGCAATGGGCCCAAATTTAAACATGGGAAATACCATTTAATGCAAACCTCCTCCCCCCCCCTTTTTTTACTGTGATACTGGTCAGACATTGGAATAGATTGCCTGGAGGCTGTGAACTCTCCGTACTTGGAGATATTCAAAATGTGATGGGGCACAGCCCTGAGAAAACCTGCTCTAGCTGACTCTGCTTTTAGCATGGAGGTGGGACTAGCTGATCTACAGAGGTCCATGTCAACTGCAACTATTTTGTGATTCTGCACAAGAAAACTGGGAGAAGAGAGCTATTGTGCTCTCTGAGGCCACATGTGCTGGATCCCCTTTTGGTAACGCAGTTTCCGTGGCAGGCTCCCAGGGCACTGCTGGGGTTTAAGCATGCTTTCCCACACCTTGCTGTGTACCAGACAGTTTTTTGCATTCTGCACATCTCCAGGAGAACATCAGAGTATCCCATTCCATGATCAAAGTCATACGCTCAAGCTCCGGCCCCAAATTTATAAACTAGTTATAAATAAAAGTTGCAACTTTCCATTTAATTTCATTTCAGTGTCATCTTCTTCTTACCCAAGTGTTAGAGTCAATAAGAACCAGGAGCTTCAACTGCCAAAAACTTAATTAATTAATGATTCCAGCCCAGAACCTGGTTTTGTTACTTCTAGGCCTCAATCCCTTCCTAGCTTTTTCAAAACAAGTCTATGATTAAACTTTCTTCAAAGACAGAGATTAAGAAAGCATTATAGGAGATACTGATCAAACACTTTACATCTCATACTTACTGCTAAATGCAAAGGACTTTTTGTAGCTGCAGAATCAGATTCCTCAAACATATTGTTGGTTTTTTCCAGAAGCTGGGAGGGGAAACAAAAAAAAAAAAAAAAAGACAGTCTTAAAACACCTTTGCACGAGAGAGGATAAGTTCTCATGGACTATAAATCAGCAAAGATATATTTGTCCTCAGATGTCTGCAGTGAGTATTGATGGACTGTGAGGAATAAATACTTCACAACCTTTTCTGTAAAGTATTTTCAAGTTTTTCCCCACAGGGTAAAGTTATAAAACTAGTTGAAAAGCTTGACATGAACATCCTTACCCTGATTAATTGGTTTCCCTGAAATCATAGGGCCTGCTTGCGTGAGAAAGGAGCCCTCAAAAGGAAGGACTTGTGGAGTAGAGCCCTCAGTAAGTTTACATTGGAAAAAGCACAGTTTCATGATTACACAGGTAATGCATATGCAAGCCATGTTTGATACAGTGTTTCGGATAACTCTGACATATAATTAGCGCTGGGAATAATTACAACTGATCTGTGAGTCATTCACGGTAATTTTTATAATTTATCAAAGTAGAACCTGCTCCTATAATGACAGTCTTCCAAAATGCAACACATCCTTGAACTCTTAAAAACATCTAGTAACATGCATCACACTTTTATACGATCTTTTTCATTTCAAGGGATCCCAAAACATTTTAAGGCTTAAAAACCAGGGCATTTCTGTCCATCTAGAAGGAGGAACTATGGATTAGCATCACTCCACAATAGCACATGAATCCTGACAACTTATCCAATTGAGGCTGCAAAGAAAATCATACACAGTATTGACAACAATATTGATAATTCAATATTTGTTGAGTAGCACTGCTCATGTGCATGGCCTTTTACTTAATAACTACTCAAAGAGTTAGTCTCCAAATACCTTTGTGACTGGAAATTAGCATTTTACAGAAAATTAGTAATAGGAGACTGCAAAAAGGAAAGAAAAGCATGACAGGTAACTACAACTGACTCGTAATGTTTCTAAGGTTACAAGTCAATTTTTCCCAGAGTTTTTTTGAGGTTTTTCTTTTGTTTTGGTTTGGGTTTTTGTTTTGGATTTTTTTGACAGAGTAAGGAATTAATGAAAAGACTGAAAAAGAGGAAAGAAAGTTTTTGTGACAATCTGGACAATTCTAGGGTATGACAACATGGAAGACTCTCTAAAGAGACCAGTGAAAGCCTACACTAGGCTTGCCTACGCTGCAAGATGATGGCATATCCTGAACTCTGATGTATGCCTGAACTTTTGGTGTAACATAGTCTTCAATAGATCTACATCAAGGATAAATTTACCCCAAAATCAAACTGGAATATAAGCTAGCATTAATAATGCATAATGTGTCACAAATCTCTTATTAAACAAGGACAGTAATCTGAATCCTATGGAAGAGCTAGAAAATAAAGCAGCAATTTCATTTATTTGTGTATTTTGTGCCTAGTAAAATGTCAGGACTGGCAAAGAAATGTGTGTTGGTGCAAATGCCTCTCATAAGCAAGTGGGTGTGTGTATTAACAGTTACTACAGATCTTAAAACTTCCCTGCAGCTAAGGCAGAGGGTGGGTGGGGGTGGGAAAATCAAGTGCCACACCAGTTTTTCAGTTGGTTTGGGGCAGAGTTAGGAAACACATTTGGTCTTACCATGTGGAGCCACCTCCAGTTTAAAATATTGTTCTTCTCTTATATAAGATAGCTATAAACAGAATGAAGCAGTAGCCAGCTCTAAATATATGAATACATACTGATTTTCTATAGTGAGTAAACAAACTAAAAAAATCCCACCGAACAAACCCAAGCACTAAGCTTGTTCCTCTGCCTGCCTAATACTGGCCTTTACTCTGAGTCCATAAGGCCAGCACAGCAGACTAATTTAATCACTTTTAATTACATTTATCATCATCTGTTGAAAATCCAGGATCAAAATCTTAACAAAGAAATACTTCCCTTAACCTGTCAGAAGGCTCCAAAAGTCTCCTGCAACAAGGCAGGTAATTGCCTTTCAAGTAGATGAAAAAAAAACACACAGAAAATTGACAAAATTAAGGCTCTAAAGGGACAAATTGTGGAATTGGAGAGCCCCCCACAAAAGGCACCTCCATGGCTTAGAGTTAAAGCAGCTTAGGCTGATGCAGACTAGGCTTAATGAGCTTATTACTCATAAGGCTGAATGTCTCCATCATAAAGTCAAGCGTAAATAAGAATGTGACGGTAAACCTGGTAGTTCTCAGATACATAGCCATACAGTGCAAGAAGAGAAATTATAAAGGAGAGCAAGAGGAGGAAGATTAAAGACGTAGCACTGATAATTTTTTTACTATGCCTTGTCAAGCACCGCTTTATAACAATTAAAACTAAGTCATATGGAGGATAAACATCATGCACAAAGAGACAAAAAGTACCAGGTCCAAGTTACCAAGCAATTCTCCAGTTTCACCAGTGTTTCTATGGTTCTAAGCATGCATTTATAGTAAATTACATACTTGTTATAAGAACACATAAAACAGTGTGTCCTTGGGAGGCTCTAGCTCCATAATGCTTCCATCTTAGAGTATACTTGTAAGAAGCTACGCACAGTTGCATGTTTTTAAATAGGTGAATTTATTGCTCAAAACCATTTGCCCTGACAGCCATGGGAGCTTAAATCCACAGGCCCTGCACAGCAATCCAAGCATGTCTGCTGTGCTGCGATACGTACCTGCCTGCTAGAAGCTGGCCAATGCATTTCAGTGAAGACAGACAAATAAGCATGAATTACTAACAGTTTATGGTTACTGGTGGCTGCCTGGAGAAGGTCCCAGCATATCTCATTTCTAATTTCTCGTGCCATTGAAATTATGTCTGTTAGCTGATTACATTTCTATATATTGATTGTCTGCAGATTTTAAGCGGATGTCGCACTGCAAGTGAAATTGGTGGGCACTCTTCTCTCTGGTTAGGTTATACCCTTTTAAAAGGTAAGGATACCCTTACTCTCTTTCTGCCTCTTGGAAATTCCCAGCATGACCCCTTCACTTCCTATAACAGCGTTATTTAACACTGTATGTAATTATTTTGTAAAGTCTTCTTCACACTCAGAAACACGAACTTGAATGCTTTGGGAGTGACATGCAGACAAAGTAAGATAAAACATGTCAATTATTCAGTTCTATTGTTACAAACTAATAGCGCTACAAGGCTGCTATTATAAACTGTCTTCTCTCCCCCAGCTCTGTATGAGGATTAATAACTTTTACAGTTCTCACAATTTTATTTTATTTGTACAGTAAGGGTATTTACAGGCATAAGAGGATTTACTACTTGATTTTATTCTGTGGCTATAATAAAGGATTACATGGCAGGATATGGTGTGGTGTTTTTTCCCCTCTCCATTTTTTTTTTGACTCAGATATGCCAGTTACTGAGTCAGGATACTTTATATGACTGTCCTTATAGCCTAATATATTCTAAAATTCAGCTCTGGTTTAAAAAAAAAAATTTAAAAAAGAAGCTTCATGGAGCATCTCCGTAATTTAAAATTACTATATAGGCAGAAAAGGAGATAATACTTTCACCACGCATAAAAGGTTTAAGCTACACTTTTAAAAGGAAGATGTCAGAAGAAACTTCAAACCATAGACACTGTAACGATGAACGCTATCTCAAATCCTAAAAGAGAACAGAACGCGTGATTCTGTATGAGCCATCATGCACCCACACCTCTAGGCACAGCCATTTAAGTGCACTACTGGTGGTTATGTCAAAGGTTTGATCTAACTACCACTGAAGTTAAAGTGACTTTTCTTGAAAATTTTACTACTTTAGTAAGGCAACCTCTACATTGCAACACACATACTTCCAGCACTGTTAATGAAATTCTTCAGTTCAATGCTATTAATGCTAATCGTAAAACAGCAAAACATTAGATTATGTGTGTATAATCTATAAATGGTCTTTACTCTGAAAGGTTATTAAGCAAACAGCATTCAGAAATTTTCACACGTGAAGAGCTGATCGAAAGGCAATTAAGACAAAAGAAGCAGTTGAACATTGCTCTTCTGCAATAATTACATAGCAATGTAGTTTATCACTTACAAGGTCATTCAGACATGGCAATTAGTAACAATTTTTAACGTCGCCTTCAGAACTGAATAAAAATATATCAGCTAGTATGTCACTTTGAATCTCATCTTTCCTCATAAATTGCAATAGATAATTGTCTCTACTGTGGGAAAACATACCAGCAGCAGCTTCTTTTAAATAAAGGCTTTTCCAGCAAGTAGCAAGCGCAAGATTGAAGACTCTCATCAGTTGTTTCAGATGAGATAGAAAAGAGTAATAGAATTAACCTCTGTATTACTTTATACCAGGGAAGCACATTTTCAAATCACAGAATTATTCTTGATTGAATAATTCAAAGATGAAGTGGTACAAATATATCCTCAGTGGGGACAAGCAATCCAGTAAAGCTCTCTGCATATTTGTAAATACAAATGATCAAACTATTTTAATTTGATCAGGTTAAAACCAATACACATCCTTAACCCAATGTCTGATACGTTTTCCTAAAATTAGGCTTTAAAAATCAGATTAATCAGTGTTTACAATAATTTCAGTCACGTTTGTAGATTATGGGTGAAGTTAAAATAAGATAAGCAAGATGAAGTTTCTCAAGAGCTTAGGTAGACTGAGTCTGAAGAAATTTATTAGTAGTTCCATGCAACTCTTCCAGTACAAAGTTTAAATATCCAACACACTACCAGAAAAGTCACCACCATGCAAACAGGACACTTACCTGGCATATAAGAGAACAATGTTTGTCTTTAAACATATCTAAATCTTAAAATTCAAGCAGACCTCCAGGCCACTGGCTGTTCCCAAGTGGGACACTAATCTCCTGTTGGAGCTCTTCCACTTCTCACAAAATCATTTCATATTAAGCCATATGAGTTCCATACTCAGTGGGTTATACAGGAGATTCTCACCCAATGAGTATACAAAGCAGGACAGCTCCAAACGAGAGTGAGAGATCCTACCCAGTACCAGTCAGCATAATATGT